ACAGGTGCAACTTCCTGGGGCTGACCAAGTTGTAAGGGTAGATGCTTAGGAAATAGGACTCTGCATGAAAAGGAGGGAGGAACAAAATGCCAAGAGTATAGAAAAATATCAGACATTGGGGACCCCAGAAACAGTGACCAGGCCCAAGGAGTACAGCCCCCACATCCTGAAGCTGCTTCAAATCCCATGGGGTAGGTAGCTCATCCCTGGGTTACCACCAGGCAAATTACATGACAATAATAGCTTACTATTAATATTATTTATTAGGAACAGAGCACTTGTGTCTTAGAGTTCACACAGGAGCCCCTGTATGTTTGGATGTCCTTACTGACATCATTCTATCTGAGCTAGAAGACTCAAGAAATCTACAGTTTGATCCCATATCCCACACTCTTTACCTCCCTGTAACTATAACAGGTCAAAGTGATTGGTGAGAAGAGCGGGAAAGTCATGATGTTGCCTGCAGATCCCTGAAAGGAACACATTAGAAGGCACCTCCACAGAACCCTTCAATACCATGATCTTTCATCAGCACCCTTCCCACCCAGGTCAGAAGGCTCAGGGTGATAACTGACAACAGGACACTGACAAAGCCAGAGATCTAGACAGTGTGGCTGGCCAGTGTTCATCTACACATCATTCCAACCACCAGCCTCCAGTTCTACCCTCGGAGTCATGTCATTGGCATCCTGGAAACTGTCCCAAGAACAGAAGGAAGAACGTGGAATCTATCTCCAGAGCAGAAGCTTCCTTAAGACAGCCTGGCTTGATAGGGAGACAAGGTGAGTTGTTGGGGAACCCTGCTGCTAGGGTTGTAATCCTCCATGTCCGGATAGCTCTAAGGGGCTTGGTGCTATATGGAAGGACTCCCCTTCTCAGCAGGGGGCTTCCTGTTCTCTGCCTGACTTACCTGGAAAGTGCCACCAAGCACGGATGCCTGACCTTATTTGGAACATGACCTTTGGCATAGTTACCTGGAGTAAAAACTACCCCCAGGTTTTTTCTATATGATAATTGGGCATTGCCCGGTAGTCGGATGATAGGAGCCCACTGCCACATGTCAATAAAGCATACTATGAGCACCTATCAGCTGAAGCATTGGCTACTGCCTCCACACTATATTTTCCCTAACCTCCACTGAATAAACTCTGGAGCTGTTTCACTGAGTCTGGAGCTCTTTGTATCACTGAACCTGCCTCCCCAGAAGGGCTTTCTTCCATCAGTGTTCACTGGCTGTACTGACCCCGTTCGTCATTTCTGCTCCCTTTGTCCTTATGGACTGGTGGCCAATGACCCACGAGGGAAGGGAGAGACCCCACAGTGAGTCAGCACCTGGCCAGGCATCCTCTCTCTGAGGACAGGTGTAACAAGCACCTGCTTTCCCCTGTTGTGCTCCCTGTCGCCCTTTTATGCCCCATCTTTCCCTGCCCAAAACTCATTTCCCAGCCCCTAATGTCCCATCCGAGGGGATGAGTGGGAAATGTTTATGAGGTCTTGGGCTTGAATTAAGAGCCCATCAAGTGCACAGACACCTCTGTCATCTCTTCCCAAAGAAATTGAGCGGCACTCATACTTTGGTTTCTCCTGTGAAATATGCTCTAGGTGTTTTTGCTTCTTTTTTAAAATTTATTTTTTGTCTGCACATATGTAAGTGCACCAGAGTCATGCAATGCCCACAGAGGCTAGAAGAGGGCATTGGATCCCCTGGAACTGGAGTTCCAGGTGGTTGTTAGCTGCCATAAGGATGCTAGGACTCAAACTTGGGTCCTCTGCAAAAGCAGCCAGTGCTCTTAACCTCTGAGCCAACTCTCTAGCCCCTTTTGATTGTTTCTTAACTCAGATAATTAACTCTGGGTGTTTAACATTCATTTATTTGTTCTTTCAGTTTCCACCCAGCAAAGAGACAATACATGGCACGTTCCAGAAGTTTCTCCTGTTTCTGGTAGGGCACAGTGAGCAGCCAGGGAGAGTTGTGCTTTCCTGGGAGATGCAGGTCACCTGCAGTGTGCTCAGCCAGCTGTGTGCTCCTCTCTGCTCTCCTTGTGGTCTCTGTTCTCTTAGGAGCAACCCAATGCTCCTTTAGAGCTTCTACTGTGACTGCACACTGCAGGCAGCCAGGACCTACAGGGGACTCATAAAAAGTCAGCTCGCTGAAACTTACTGTCTTCTTCCCTCCTTTGACATTCCTGTCCTTGCCCCTTAGGTCACTTTTGCTCCTTGAAAAAAAAAATAATAATAATTTGAGACTGGTCATGGTGTCACACACTTTTAATCCCAGCACTCAGAGGCAGAGTCAGGAGGATCTCCATGAGTTCAAGATCAGCCTGGTCTATACGGCGAGATCCAGGCCAGGTGGGAGTGCATAGTGAGACCTTGTCTCAAAAATAAATAAGGGTTGGAGAGATGACTCTGGTTAAGAGCACTGGCTGATCTTGCAGAGGACCAGGGTTCAGGTCCCAGTACCCACATGGCAGATAACAACCTTCTGTAACTCCGATTCTAGGGGATTAGAATCACTCTTCTGGCCTCTAGGGTATTGTATGCATGTGATACACACACACACACACACACACACACACACACACACACACCTATGCACACACACAGGCAAAACACATACATAAAATGAAAATTAAATAAAAATTTGTTTCATGTCCTTTCCCCCACAAAGCAGTTCCAGTAGTTTTTCTCTCAACCAAATGACCCTTATTTTTAAAACGGGTTTAAAATTTCATCTCTTGTTGTGGCTTAGTGGAGTGAAGGGGGGTTAAGTTCACTGCACTTAGTGGAGTGAACTTACCGGTTCACTCTTCAAGAGAGGATCAGAAGAGACAATCTTCCACCCTCTCAGAAAGGCAGGATCCCAGAGGAATTAATAAGAACAAGGAAAAAAAGGCACGTGAATGTAAGTGCGAAGATGAAACCCACGCTTTGATGTTAACTTAATACAATAATAATAATTACTAAAATAACGAGCAGAATCCCCGCTCCATAAGGAGCATGCTCTTACTCACTGGGGTGCAATTTTCCAAAGCTCGTGAGATAAGAGTAGGCACCAGGATTGAAACTAAGATTTACCTGGTTAGTCTATGGGTGGCGGGTGGAGAGACGGGGGGAGCGAGCAAGGGTCGGGGGCGGGGACAGGCACAGTAACTGAAACAAAACCAGCTTAGAGCAGTCTACCCCAGAAGTCATTACTCTGTGTTAGTCTATGGGTGGCGGGTGGAGAGACGGGAGAGCGAGCAAGGGTCAGGGGCGGGGACAGGCACAGTAACTGAAACAAAACCAGCTTAGAGCAGTCTACTCAGGGGTCAAGCAGGGCTGGTCAGGGTTGAGGAAGGACCCATCCACCAGGGGCAGGGCAAGAATCCTACCACCTGGAGCAATGGTCCAAGTTCCACCCGCCTGCACATGCGCAGAGCCCGGGTAGTGCAGGCCTACCGTCTACAGCATCCGGTAGGAGGCCGGTCAGGCGGCGCCCCCAGCGGCCACTCTGAGGTGCACAGGAAGTTCGCATCCCACCTCTCTATCCCTCCCGAGCCCAACCGCCCAACCGCCTTGGAGACCCTAAGTCTCAGAGTGCCAGGTCCTTGGAAGGCTGCAGATCCCCGACCTTGGGCTGGCAGCTGTCCTGCGGTCTTCCTTGACTCCTCAGCTGGCCTCCCTCCTGCCTGCACATCCCTCCCTGTCAGCACATCCTCTGCTGCCCTGTGGGCTGTCTCCATAGCCCCTGCACACCAGGGAGCACAAGTCCACTTCGCATCCTGGTCCCCAAGCAGGTGACTTTGGGAGACCCAGGTGCTTTCGCCTTAGTGAGGCCCTTCTGCCATAGAAATACTAAAAATTATCATTTAAGGGCGGGAGAGATGGTTCCGCAGTTAAGACCACTGGCTGCGCCTGCAAAGGACCCAGGTTCTTTTTCCTGCAACCACATGGCAGCTAACAACTGCCAGTTCCAGGGAATTCAGAGCCCTCTGGCCTGCGGAGAGAGAGGCATTGCCTGCATGGGTGTACTTATATACAAGCAGGCAAAACATTCATACAATAAAATTACATTTTAAAATTTTATCATTTAAGACTGTTGTGATAATACATCAATTTATTTATTTATTTAGTATCGAGAAGGTCTCTCGGGTCTAAAAGGTTTTTCCTTCCTCTGAGCTTAAAACAAATTCATACATTTCTCAGAGCCCCTAAAAATACCTGTGGGACCTAGGCACTGCCCCAGAGACGCGGACTCTGCACTTCCTGCGTTCACCAGGACTGTGCGCTCTTCTCCAGCTGCCCAGTCACCGCTAGGTACCGGCTTCACCTGCCCTGCAGTGCACTAATCTCTTTTCTCTTCCCACAGCTGCCCAAGGCTCATCCTAAGATCCACAACCAGCACAGGTGCAGCAGACCTGTGGCTCCCGAGTGCCTGCTGCAGGCCCTCACTTCGACGTCAGTGCAGTGAAAAACACGTGACCTAATGTCCCTGGGACCCGAGAGGAAACTGCGTCTAATCTTAGATCCTTCCGTCCAGAAATTTGTATAAGGTCAGGGAAGGCGACTGGGCTGTCTGTTCCTTTCCCAGCCCATGTCCTCCATCTGTACACCACTCCTGGGTCCCCTATGCTTCTGGGAAAGAAAAGGAGGCCAGAATGCAAAGAGTTAGTCTGTAGACACGCGCCAGCTGTTGAAGTGTTTTACAGGCATTAACTCTAGTGCTCACTGTGATCCCACAGAAGAGGCTGTCACTTATAGATGCGAGTCTATGGCCTCGAACTTATGGTCTGGTGCTGCCCACAGTGGTGACCTATAGGAGGTTTCCAGGGTGTTTTGGGCCACCTGTGACTTCCACTTTAAGATCACAGATTGGAACCTAGAGCTGGATCAGGTGTGACTAGGGCAGCGGGCTTGGGCTCATCACTCTTCTGTTGCTAGTGCAGCCCTGCTGGCAACCATCCCTGGGGCCTGCACAGCCCTGGATGACAATAATGCCCCTTTGCCTCTCAGGGAACATGTCATCCCTGTTTGCAAGGAACACCAAGAGCTTGGTGAGAGAGCTGGGCAGGAAGGGCGAGCTGGTGCCGGTGGACAGCCTGAACAGTGCTAGGCGCCTGCATCCTTTCTGCCTGGTGAGGAAGAAGCACAGGCAGCACCTCTGGCCTTGGGACACACCGCTCATTCCCACGGACTTCTCCCTCCTGGATATACTGGACCCCTGCTGTCCGGTCCCAGGTATCATCTATGGAGCTGTAGAGTGGATCAGGACTCCCAAAGGAGGAGGATGAACATGCAGAAAAAACCAGGCACTCAGAGATCAGTGGGTGAGCCTGATAGGTGCATGGCCCCCACAGTGCCATGTGGCCTATGTGTAGGAGAAGGATAGGCCATTTCTTTCTGTGTTCCGTCTGTGAAAATCATGGTGAACAATCATGTTATTTCAGTTCTTAAAATTTTTTTAAAGTTAGCATATGAATACTGGGTTTCATTGCAGAATTTTCTTTTTAATATTCTATTTATTATTTTTATTTATGTGTATGAGTGTCTTGCCTGCATGTGTATAAGTGCATCCTTGTCATAAAATGCCCATAGAGGCCAGGATACCCTTGAACTGGAGTTACAGATGGTTGTTAGCTGCCATGTGGGCACTGAGACCTGAACCCAGGTCCTCTGCAAGACCAGTCAGTGCTCTTAACCACTAAGCTATCTCTCCAGACCCCCAGCATTTTCTTTTTTAAGGCCTGTAGCCTGGGCCTCTCTTTCCACAGAGGTGAACCGCAGCAGTCCCATCCACATCTGGGAGAAGGTGGCAGGAGGGGGATCCGGAGCTGTGAGCCTGAGCACTGGGCTTCAGGGCCAGGTGACAGGGAGCACCGGGGCTACCTGCATCTCTGCCATGGCTGTGCAGACACTCTGGGTTTCCCCACACACCTGGGAGAAGCTGGTTGAGAAAAGGTGAGGGTCAGAGCAGGTTTGTGGGCAGCTGGGCTCTTGGCTGGGATCAGAGGGCATACTCCCCTCACCCACCCCAGGTTTGAATAAGGAAAAAACAAAGCGCTCTGCCAGCCTGAAGCCTCATGAAACACTTGAGATAGCAGGCTAGGACTGCAGGAGACCTGTGGGAGCAAGCCCTGGACCCAGGAAGAGGTCAGAGGTGTCAGGCCAGATGTACCCAGAGCCAGGGAAGGAAACAGAACCATGGGAGTGTGAAGCAAGAGGGAGTGGTGCAACAATGACAAATTGAGACACACCCACCTGAAACTGGTAGCCACTTAGTTGTTGTGGGAGTCACCAGGCAGTACCAGGAGCTCAGTGGTGCCAGGTTTCCAGGGTTAGCAATTTAGAGCTTTCAAATCAATGTTAATATTATCTCCAAAAATGTAAATGTCATATGGGACAAATAACATATGCCTTTTTATGCAATCTCATTTCTGCCTCTGATCTGAACATCTGAAACCTTGTAGAAGGGCTATGTCCCAGGCTTTCTTCAGCTTCTCCCTTTTTCTGGCAACCCTCCTCTCACCTTAGACAACAGAGTAGTCATGGTCCATCCCTGGCCAGGCCAGCCCACTGTTCCCCCTAGCTGCTAAGATCAGCGCACAGGGGGATAAGCCTGGGAAGACTCTGGACTCTTGAACTGGGCAGAGGCAGAGACCCCCCCTCCCTCTTCTGCTCTACTTCTACCTTCTAGGAAACTAAGATCTCCCAGGCCCTCCTTCCTCCGGGAGCTGCAGAGTCGGAAGGAGAGGGAGAGCCTGTATGTGGTGACTGAGGCTGTGGAGAGCCTGCAGGATGCCACGCTTCAGAGCCAAAGCAGAGTGCAAGGAGCCGGGCAGCTGTCCCTCCTTGGGCTGGGCCAGGTTCAGGTGTGTAGTGTGCAGGTGTTGAGTGGGTGGGAAGCACGGTTGTAATACTGAACAACAATCTCAAGAGGGCAGCCTACCAGAAAGTCACTCCATCTCAGTGAATGGAATCCTTGGAGGTGTGTGCATGGTCTCAACTCTGCCAGCATATTTCCATCACCTGAGAGGTATTTTTCTGGAATTTCTGTTGTCTCTCTTCCCTCCTCTTTCCTTCTCTCCCTCCCTCACTTCCTCTCTCCTATTGTTTTGATTCGGAGTATTGAGGCCCATTTGGACTCAAGTGATCCTTCTACCTCAGCCTCCCAGCTACCTGGAGACAGAAACAGACATGACACCTGTGGGCACCAGTTGTTTATCACTGGTCTAGAATAACACCTCATCACTGGCATTGCTTGAGATTTTCCAGATGATTTCTGTAACACAATGTAAGAGGATTTGCATCCACTTTGGAGCTGGGCACACCTGGGTACAAACCCTGGCTCTGCCCCTGGCCACTGTGTGACATTGGACAAGATGAGATTCTCTAAGTTTTCCTGTGAATGAAGTCAGGTGATGACCGCTGCAGTGTGGCAGGTGTGCGGCCCGTGGTGAGTGATGACAACCTTTCTGCCTGGCATCTAGGCCAGCTCTGTCCTTGGGTCATAGTCTTTGCCTCCTTACTGTCAAACAGGAAGGCTGGGTCTCACATACACAGCGTAGGGCTCAGGGGCTCACTGCGGGGACTTCAGACACAGATGGCTCCAGCTGCTCAGCATCTGATGAATGCAGGTGACTACAGGTAAGGACCACCTTAGGGGAGCCTTGGTACCATAATGGAGTGCTACCTGGAAGCACTCTACAGACCTTACATCCTGATGATTTCAGGAGGTATATACGTTATGATTGTTCTTTCCATGAGAAAACAGGGCACAAAGAAGCTCAGTTCTCTGCTGAGGACCACACTGCCCAAGTTTAAGCCTGAGCAATGCATCCAACCCATATTTGCTCAAGCCAACTAAATGGCAGCATGGCCTGCAAATGCAGAAGATGGCTGGACTTCTAACCCCACGTTCCTTCAGCAGATGACAATCTTCAGGACCCTCCCCCCATACACACCTTTGCTCAGATGTGAAAGGATAGGAATCTCATGCAACAGGGCAGGGGCACTGCCTTGGGGTTAAACATTTACTGCTGATCTCTCAATACATGGAGATGCTGAGTGTGTCATGGGATTGGGTTCTAGGTAGGGTGACCAACCTTCCTAGAATGCCTAAGACTAGGGCTTTCCCAAGACACAGGACTTGCAGTGCTACAACCCAGAGTCCCAGGACCTTCAGTTCTCTACCGGTGAGTGATGGGAAATTCCAAAATAATGCTGGCTCAAAGCAAGAAAAGTATTTTTCCCTTACACAAAAATACAGACAAGACCCAAAGAGCCCCAGGGGTAGACTGCTGTCCTTGGGGATCTAATCTCTATTTTGTTACTCTGCCACCATCTGCGTATGACTTCCACCTCATGGGCCAGGATGGCTGTGGTAGCTACAGTTATTGTGCCCATAAGCCCAGCCAACAGTAGAGGGGAAGGGAACAATGTCCCCTCCCTCACCCCAAACTTGCACATGCTACTTCTTGTGTGTGTCCCATCAGCCAAAACTTGGCTATGTGACCACATCTTGTTGCAAGGTGCTGCATGTGGAGACCTGTATTCAGGACAGCCGTGTACCTGCAGATGCAGGGGCTCTGTTTCTGTGCTCATAAGTAGCTCTTTCCCATGGGGAAGATGGAAATGGCCATGCAGACAGGGAAGCCCAGCTTTCAGGGCCAACTCCTCTGTCCCATGGCTTCCCTTCTCTGTACCTCGTTCTTCACGTGGAAAATGGGAGAGAAGGAGTTGGTGGCCACTTGGAGTCTGTGCAGCTGCCACACCCCATGCCTGTACCTCAGCTTTTCCCATAGTGAATGTACTACACTCTGGAACACACATTACAGGACAGAGCAAACTGATGTTTCTGTTGTGGGACTTCTTAAAGCTTTATCAAACAAAGGTACATTGTTTTGAGCCTAGAACGCCTTGAGCTATTTTCTGAAAATACCTTGTATGCAACACGTTCTACAGAATGCTGTTCTTGCTGCACGTGGAGGGTCTCTCTGTTCCACCTTCCACCTACCTTGGCCTTCAACCCCTGTAGCCCATTCCTGACCAAAAAATCTTGTCATAAAGAGGGACCCTGGCAGCTCTTCTATCTGCCTCCCAAACCTGACCCTGAAGCTTCTGGAGCCCCAAGAGCTGGTGTCCTGTTCTCCCTGCCTCCCTCACAGGTCCAGGGGCAGAGCCACATGGCTACAGAGAAAATGGTGAGAATCCCACAGGGCAGTGTCCTGGCCTACAGGGTTCTGTAGCTGGTGGTGGAGGAAGATGGCTGGGGTAAGCCCCCCACCCCCGGTCCCCCACTCCAACTCCTCCAGTCAGATCTCTGAGAGCTGTGAGGAACAAACAGAAAGAAGGAACCTCTACAATGCCCCTATCCCTCACCCCCACCTGTTTACCTGAGCAATGAGCTAATGAGCTGGCCAGGTCTTCCTCTTTGCAGCACCTAAAGAGACCTGACTTTTGTAGAAAACCCAGCCTGTCCCTGCTTGCCCTAGGGTATGGCAACATTCTACCAGAGGAAGTGCCCTTTTTATCTAATTGGGACAAAGTCTCACAAAGTGTCTGCCTACCTGTAGCCAGAGAGTGAGCAGAGAAACACAGTAGGCCTTGTTCCCCCAAACCATGTCTAAAACCAGTCACATCAGGAAACTGCCTCAGTGGTACCAGCTCCAGCTCTGGCCACTGGATCTCTAAGCTTGGCCTTGGGGTAGGGGAAGGAGGGAGACTGAAATAGCTTCCTCGCCCTCATGAGAGGGAAGAACGTATGTTTAGGAGCCACCTGTGTGACCCTGGCCATATCACTGTAGCAATTTCTACAGCAGGGCTCAGGTGGCTTGGGAGGCCATGTGCAATAACCGTGTAGAATACAGCCCCCTGCTGGCCAGCACTGAAGCTGGGGCTTCCTGACCACCTGTTCTTGGGTTTGTACTTTTCCCTGCTCTGCCACAGCAGCTGTCCTTCACCTCTCTGATGGGAGGCTCTGCAGGGACACCAGGGGAGGTAAGTGACTCTACCCAAAGTACATGACTCCCCTTTAGAGACTGCCCTGACATGGTTCTGTGGTCCCTTCCTAATACCATGTGGTCATCTGAGGTGTGACTCCACCTTACAGGTGGTGATTCAGAAACGCCAGCAGGTGTGTGCAGAATCACACCTGTTTCAAGCTCTGGGACCCTTGTCCATACTGAGTGTGGGAGCCTCATGCCTGTTCCAACCCCTGGTTCCCTCATCCATACATGGGAGGCTGATGCTTGTCTCTCCAGTCAGTCTAGAAGATGAGTCATCTCAGAGTCTGGGCCTGAGCCAGTCAGGGGTTTCAGGATCAGAGAAGCCTTGCAGCCCTAGAAAAGAAAGCTAGGTGTGGCTGTGCTCCCTCTGCAGAAGCACTGGGTCGGGGAGGGGAGAAGGAAAGGAGTAGGGTGGCAGGCCGGAAGGCCAGCTGAGACCTACGACTGCCTGTGCGGGGAGATGCTCTGGAAAGCCTGGTGAAGGAGTGAAGAAAGGAATGAAGTGCCCAGATGGTGTATGCTGTGTGATGGTAGCCACACAGGCCCATGCCTGTGACATTGAACATCCCAGGCCAGGGAGGCTGGGGCACCAAGGACCCATGGGCATGTGGCTGGGCATAAGAGCCAGTGGTTGCCCACCTGGTCTCTACAGGCATAGCCTTCAGCCAGGACCCAGAAGAGGAGCCTGACTTCGGGGGGCTGCAGGGCCAAGCAGGTGTCCAGGTGCAGGACTTGGCCACACTGTCCCCAAAGCTACGGGACACACTGCTGGGTACCTTCCAGGAGCTGCTCCAAGACCGTCAGACACTCCAGGTGCTGGAGGACATGGTGAGGCAAAGGTGCCTGATCAGAGAGAGGGCAGAAGAGACAGGAGCAGGGTGTATAGGCATGTCCTCAGCTGACAGGGCTGCCCTGCATCTTCTAAGCACACAGCTGGGATGGTAAGGCAAATCTCAGTGTCAACTACTGACATAGACAGAAGCCCAAACCCCAATCAGCCCACCTATGAGGAGGAGGCTGGTTCAGTTAAGCTCAAGCCAAACCCTGGCTCCTTGCATCCTCATGGGCTCCCAGAAGTGGGAACAAGACCTCCAGTGGTAGCATGCACACACAGGGACTCTTCCTCATCCTTTCCCTACAGCTGGAACAGGCTATGGATACTGGGTTGCTGGGACATCTAGGGGGCCCTGGAGGCTTCATCCTAAGCATGCTTCAGGACTCCACTGGCAACATATCATCCTCACGAGGCAGGGCTATCCTCTACATTCTTGGAGCCCTAGCAGGTAAGAATAAGGGCCAGAGTTTATGAGGAGACCCCAGAGGGAAGGAGGTCTGTTGAAGCTTGGGTTACTCAGATGTGGGCTTGCTGAAGCTGGGAACTTCACCGACATCCCAGAATTTTCCTCTTAATAGTTCTGGGTGAGAACCAGCCAGATTTAGGGGCTGGCAATGAAGTTTCTTCCATTCATCCCTAAAGGTTCCATGACAATCGGGACCCGTGTGCCCTGCACTCTGTGTCCACTACTTTCTCTCTGCAGCTAGCCTTGCTTCAGGGACTCAGCCCATCACTAGCTCCACCAGGCACAGGGAGACAGGGGTTCCACAGAGACAACAGCTTCCCACCTGCCCTGCAAGGTCCCTCAATTTTCCTCCTTGCTCCTTCACTCTAGCCCAAACCACTACATGATGTCGCTGGAACAAGTCAGACCTACTCTTGCCTCAGAGCCTCTGTACTGACTGTTCCCTGCCTGGAACACAGAATAACCATGCCTTCTTCTTGAATACATGTCTGTGAAGAGTAGGTACCCAACATCTTCCTGGAGAAAAGGAGATGAAATACAGAGGCCCCAGGTCATGTGGGAAGCAGAGCTAGACATGCTGGAAGGATGCTGTTTTTTCCAAGGTTGGGGCAAATCTGGGCCAAGCTAGCTGGGGTTCTGGCACCAGGTCTGCACTAGCACTCTGAGTAGCCCTGGCCAAGGGTTTCTGAACCCTGGTTAACCCACTGCTCAAGGCCACCGACAGTGGAACAGCTTGAACATGTGAAAACCCTTTGTGAAATTCAATGCCAGCCCTTATGGACCGCTCCAGAGTGATGTGTTCCTGCTTTCCAGAACCTCTTGGGAAAGATGGCTTCGGAGGTGCCAAGACCCAGTGGGGCTTCTCCCCACCTTAGGGCTCCCGAGGTGCAGTCCTTCCTCCATCAGAGCCCATGAGGGACACAACATAGAATACCTGTGGTCTCTTCCATTTCTGAACCTCCTCTTTCCCTCACAGCACTGAGTGATCCCCAGCACTGCCTGTTGGCCCAGTCCCTGGAGAGACAAATCTTATCTCAGGAACTGGAGCTGGTGAGAGCTTCAAAGGAGGGGGTATTGAAATGCAGGGAGAGAGAGGGTACTTTGGAAGAGGATCAGGTGCCCATCTCCAAGAGCCTGTCATCAGCCCCCACTCACAGAGGGAGCAGGCTCTGGGTCTGGCCTTGCAGTCGACAGCTCTGAGAAGCCTCTTTCTAGGGAACCCACCCAGTCCTGCATCCTGAAGGTTTTACACACCCATTCCACTCAATGTCTCTGCCAGGCCTGAGAATGCAAAGGGAAAGAGTCCCATCTGTCTGCTCCAGTTGATAATGAAACACTGGATTGCACTCAAACAGGCGTTACCCAAGGGAGTCACGTCTTGAAGCTCATAAGCTAAAGGGGTGGGCAGCCTGGCAGAATGGCAAAGGTTGAAAGGCCTGGGGAGTGCTAGAAAGCCTTCATTCCAGCCAGCAGCAACCAAGGGCACTGTGTACAGGTGGGGAGGTGGGCTGCATGATCCCCAGCACTGAATCCTATACTGCAAAAGCCTCAAGGCGGTGGCCAGGGAGCAGAGGCCCCAGGCTCCTGCTCCAGGGTGGGTGTCACCACCCAATGACCTAGTGGCCCGTGATCCTCAAGTTGTTCCTTGCAGGTGTCAAGCATCCTGGAGTCCAACTGTAATCAGATGGAGGGAGCAGCCTGTCCTCTGCCAACAGAAGTCCTCTGGGGCCTGCAGAATGAGGATGTGATCCTAGCCCTGAGCCTGGTGCAGAGCTGTGGGCTGGAGCTGGAGGAGCCCAGCTGCCAGCTCACCTGGGACCCTGTAGTGGTGCCACAGCTCTCTGCACTCTACGGGTGCCTCACAGGCCTGCAGCTGCTGGCTAGCCCCAGCCCTGGGCTCTCCAGGACAGTGCCTGAAGAGGGACTGTCCCTACAGCCATCTTGACTCCTGAAAGCTCAGGATATCAACTGACCCACTGGGCACAGTTCATGACAGCCCCACAGTGCACTCAGGACAGGTTCCCAGACATCAGAAACACCTGGCCAGAACAAGTTAAGCTAGGACCATAGCTTGAGTCAGGGTTCTTCCTGAGAACGGTGCAGGCCAGCTCCAAAACTGACTTAAGTGTCCTGCTGGGTGACCACTCCCAGCCTGTGAAATCAGCCTCTGTAAAAGGAGGGTGGTGAGATTTCCTAGGGCACAGGATGCTAGTGAGAACTTTCAAAATTATACATAACATGCTTAGAGGAGTGCTCCTGTCTTGGGTTGCTGAGCTGAATAATGCCACTCGGGGAAGCTGCTCTCCGGGGCAACACAGGACTCAAGACAACTGCCCTCCCTTGCACCTCCCTGCATCTTTCCTTTACCTACATTTTCCCACGGTAAGAGATACGGTCAAGCTGCTCAGGTCTCACCCAACTGCACCTGTCAGGGACTGTACAGGATGTCAGAGCAGGAGAGGAATCCTCAGCAAGAGACCAGAGGTTGAGCCCTTGCCTCCCAGATCAGGCCATTTTCAGTCTCCCCGATTGTGCAGTGGCTGGGTCCCTCTCAGCATCTCTTGTAGAAATGGATTTCTTCTGTGATAGTTTCTGGTAAAACCCACATTCTGCAACAAGGTGTTCTCTTTGTATGTGTCTGTGTGGGTATGTTTGTGTGGTTTTGTGTATCTGTGTATGTCTATCTCTGTGTGTGTCTTGTATCTATGTCAGTGTATATGTCTGTATGCATCTGTAAAACGTGTAAATCTGTACCTGTGTGCATCCGTGTCTCTGTGAGGAGCATGGACACCATGCAGAGGAAAAGCCCAAGGACGTGTTACAGCCAACAGGCCAGGGCCACAGGCCCCCAGTCCCAGCCTAGAGCTCTTAAATCTCTTGCTAGCAGACAGTAATAAACTTTACTAGGCCACTGGGACAGCACTCAAGGCAGACATCACCTGATAGTCCCCAGTTCAAGCAAGATTATCTTTTTTTACAGTGTGTGTGTGTGCGCCATGGCACCAATATGGAGAATAAAGGACATCTTGGGGGTTCCCTCCAACATGTGAGTCCTGGAGATTGAACTTGGGCTGTTAGCAAGCACCCTCACCCACTGAGCCATCTCACTGGCCCCAAACAAAATCACCTTATATAGTCTTTTCTAAAGATAAACGTTAACAAAACAATAGTCATTGTTTTAAGTTTCATAGACGTGTGATTATTTTTGTATGGTGCTAAGGACTGAACCTAGAGCTTCAGAAATGGAAAGGCTGTACCACTGAGCTGCACTTCTGGCCAAAGAACATTTTAATTCCACATCCCATAAATGACCAGTATAGACATTTGGTCATTTACCCTTTTGGTCCTATGCACACATATGAACCGTCCTGCAGGGGGGAAAAATGGAGGTACCTGCAGCTTATTAAAACACGTGACATACTGAGTGCACGTCAGTACATTAATGCTCTGCAATATGAAAACTAAAGTTTCAGGCAAGGAAATCTTCAAACCCTCCAAAGTCTGGGGAGCTCTGATGTAGGAGAACAGCTACTGTGTCACACTTCACCTCTGGCACTTCCTGGTGGTGCTGGCCAGGGCTCCTCCTTGTGGGCAAATGAGAACAGACATTTTCCACTCTCAGCTACGTGGTCCACTCCAGCCAATCAACGTGAAAGTTCAGCCACCCTACCCCTCCCCATTTTCATCAGGAAGTACAGAGAGGCAACCACAGTGACTTGGACTCTTTACTGTCTTTAAGGATATAGAATAGAGTCCTTGCAAACAGTCTACTTGAGTCCTCTCCTGCAGTCTCAGCCCCTGCAGCCGCTCCAGGTCCACACCCTGACCTCACCTCACCCTCATGCCAGCCCCTTTCCCCTGCCTTCCAACTTCACTGCTCAGTTTGACCAAGGACTTGTCCTGTTCTCAGGAGGGAATGGGCAGAGAGGCAATGAAAGTGCCCCACCACGAACATGTTCACAAGGTGGTTCCTGCGTATGTGTCATCTATTTTTTAAGATCAACTTTCAATCATTTTCTGAAATTAGAAGTGACCATAATGTGACTATAAACACTACCACTAACAGGTTCATTCTGGAAAGCGAGGGTTCTGTCATTACCAACTGAGGTGAAATAAGCAAGACTCTCAAACCAACGGATTTGGGGTCGGGGAGCCTCTGACTATCAAGAGCTATGCGACTCCTGGCAAGTTTCTTAACTCTTGTGACCTTGTTCTCTGTAACAGGGACAAACTATCTCCATGTGTTTGTGTCACTTGAACAATAGGCTTACAGACAGTACCCCTTCACCCTCCCAGAGCCCACCTCACAGTGCTCACAGATGGACCTTGGCTATCACCTTCCAGCAGTAAGGCAGACTTCAGATCTGTTTGGGGCTAGCAGAGGAGGTAGTACTGGTGAGCTAGTCTTCCCGGCAGCTGGGAGATGAAAGTAGTGGATGTGCCTGTGGGTACCCTGTGCTGCTGTCCCTTCTCTGAGCCCAACAGCTTCTATAGACCAGAGGTAGGATGAGGAGGGTTGCTGTCACAGAAGCTGGTAGCAATAAGACAGGGCATCCTCAGAGCTGAATAGGCACTGGGACCTCTGTCAAGCAAACTGACCAAACAGCAGTATTTCCCCAGGCAGGGGCTGGGGGTGGAAGTGGTCTCAGAGGAGTAGTAATGAAACAGCTTGTCTAAAGGCCTCAAGATCCTGAGTTGAGTGTCAAGACAGGAAATGACTGTTTCACATTAAAATGCCAAATATAAGTGGACTCTCCATGTGCTTTACAGACACAGAGTGACTCAACTTTTTGGTGTGAAAGCCTAGCAACTTGACAAGCTATGCGCTTCACAAACCTGTGACGGAGGAATGTCAGCTCGGCAGCAGCACCAGCCCTCTGGAGAGGCTCAGGACCACCACACTGTTTTACAGACAAGGAGGCTACAGCTTCGGTGGCGCCGAAGAGCCCCTAAGGACACAGCCAACTACCAGGTGGCCCAGGCCCGACTGACTTAGAAAAGCTGTACTATTTTTCCTACACTATGAACTAGTCTTTTGGATTTTTTAAAAACCAGTATTACAAAGATTTTGCTATTTTAACAGGCAACTCTGAATTGACACTGGAGAATATCTGCCGATACAGATACACACTTTCACGCAGGCGGCTTCCTTAGTGCAGAACGCCCTCCATTTGTGGCCCTAGGACACAGCCTGTGGGACTCTGGACAGAGACTTAGTACTTACCTAGTTTGTGAACATGCTCCCTGAAGGAACATACCACTCCCAGGAGATTGCTGTTTAAAGTATCTACAGAGGCTGAGCTTGGGTAGAGCACTTACCTGGAATGGAAATGGGCCTTGGTTCCAACCCCAAGCACTGCAAAGTAATTAGAAAAAAAAAACAAACAAACAGTGGGGTTTATCAGCAGTTAAGGGTGTGTACTGCTCTTGTAGAGGATCCAAATTTAGTACCCAGCAGATGGCTGCCAGATGGCTCCCAACGACCTGGGACTCCAGCTCCAGGGCATCCTGCACCTTCCTCTGGCCTCCAGTGGCAGTTGCACTCGGTGCGGACACACACACAGAGCTGCTTTCATGTGCATCTACTCACACAAATATACAGAGTTAAAAATAAAATCTTTAACTGTGTTTAGGTCTCAAGTGTACAGGCCAATTGGCTGCCCACTCAGGGCACTACTACATTCAAACAGGAAGTTCTTATTAATCAGTTATGGGATCTATCATGGGCTCATTAAGATTATGCAGGGTTGTCTAGCACCCAAAACAATGAGAACCAGCACATTAGAATGAAAAACATGTGGACAGGGTATCAGGAATATAATATAGACTGTGGTGGTCAGAATACAAACAGAGCCCCTCACACCTACAAAATGTTACAGGCATTAGCCAGCTTGCTTCTTGTGAACACTCTAGAGAGGTATTCTGAGTATCTCCCACTTTATAAATGATGGCACATGAGACTTAACCAAAGTAACACTGAGTTGAAGGAGGAAACCCAGTGACTAAACCATGCTTTAACAGAGCCCATTAATACTGCCTTTGCTGACAGGACATGAGACATACACCGTTGATGATGTGGAACCAATCAATATTAAAGATCATGTTTCACATTGCTCATTTCAACAAGGAAGAAAAGAATTCCAACAAAGTAGTATAGTTTAGGTCCTCCCACGCTCACATATGCACACGAGCTCTGTTGGGTCATTTTCACAGGAATTTCTAGAGTAGCAGTTGCAATCTCAAATGAAACCAGAATGGCATTTTCAACTCAAAGACACTTAAACTCCAAAGACCAGATTTGAGCACAAATGCTTGTCCTATGACAAGCCTAAAATACTTGCTCAGTATTATAAGTCCAGAGCCCTAATCTAAATATGAGGAAACAGTAGTTGAAAAGTGCCACTCATCCATGGTGAGGGCTACAGAAACAGCGGAGAAACAGAAGGTATGGTTTGGTATCAGAGATGACACTACGGCTCACTCTACTCTTGGGAAGCAGGACACATGGGCTGGAAAGACGGTAAGTAGACATGCGCTGACAGACACTTTAGAAAACCATAAAGGGTGAAAGAAGGCCAGCCTGGGGACAAGACCTGCAAGCAGAAAAGCAGGCCGACCTCTGTGCAGGAGACAGGCCGACCCTGCTAGGTCATTGCGGCCCTCTGCTCAGCCTGTGCCCAGCCCCAGAAACCATCACTCCAAGAGCAGACTCCTGAGCAGAGATCAGACCTGGGAGGTGAGAAGATGCCACCATGCTCTCTGGGCTCCATGAATGGAGACAGCCGCTGAGGCTGTGCCCCTCCCCTGGTGGAAGATGCTTCTCCATCACACTGCAGGACTGCACTCCTGCCACAAATAACAATAAACGAACGAGGAGTCTATGTTCAATAAAATTTTATTTATGAACACTGGAATTTGAATTTCATATACTTTTCTCATGCTACAAAATATTTTTTCAACCTTTTAAAAAACATGTTATCCTTTTTTTTTTTTTAAACCTTTTAAAAATCATTCTTAATTCACAGGCTGTGTAGGTACAGAGGGAGGAGGGTTGGCCCACAGACTGGGCTGCTGATCCCTAGGCTACAGTTAAAAGATTTTTCTTCCCATTTAATCTTCAACATGCAGAATGTGAATGATGTTACCTGAAAAGGTCACAGCGGTATCACTACATCTAATCCATTTATTGTTCTCATTCGCTCGATTCAAGCACTCACTTGGCACCTATTCCGATTTAGGTACTGTGCAAGCTCCTTCCTTGAGACCAAAAAGGAAAACAAAAAGCTCACATCGTCTCCTCAGCATTCAGACACTGTATTCTCAAGAGCATCAAAAGTACCAACACTACTTTGTGAGATAGTTATATTTGATGCCTACAGTGACTATAACAAATTACCACCAACTAGGTGGCTTAGAACAACAGAAATCTATTTTTTTCCACCACATCAGAGGATAGAAGTCTGAAATCAAAACATCAGCAGAGTTGGTTCCCTCAGGAGGCTCTGATCGGAACTGTTCCACAACCCTCTCTCGGTCGTGGCCCAGGAACTTCTGGCTTGTAGACACTCTGCCTCTATTCTCCCAGGGCCTCCACTGTGTCTGTGTCTGTTTTGCTTTCTTTTTTCTTAAACCATTTGTCAATGGATTTAGGACCCACCCTAATCCAAGATGATGTCATCTCCAGGTCCTTAATTTCACCTGAAAATGCCTGTTCTCCAAATGAGGTCATCTTTACAGGTTCCAGGCATGATCTTTTCGGGGTGCATCATTCAACCCATTACAAGACTGTTAGAAGACAAAGCCTGTATCATCCCAAGAGTTTTTCAGGAGAAAGCAACAGAAGCTGATCTTTGAAAGATGAGAGCTGGTGCTGGTCAGAGGACACGAGGGAGAAGGGCAGTCATGGTCCAGCTGCAGCCAGACCAAAATTACAAAGCAACACTGCAAGAACAATCAGGAAACAGCAAGTAGTTAAGCTTGGCTGGAGAACGGGGTGTGAAGCAGGACAGGCGGGAGGAGGACAGAGTCAGCAGGAACTCGATCACCAAGTGCTGTGTGTGCCATATCCGGCACTATGGTCAAGGAGGTCCTGAGGGAAGCCTCTGTGATTCTCCTTCATGGTTAGCCATTTTAACTGCACCACACCGTCAGATGAACCTGCCATTAAACTACTGACAAGACTGAATATGACAATCTTTAAGCAGCCTCTCTCAACCATAAGATTTTGACTTCATGACCTAGATTTTATGAACTTAAAACATGTGGTAGCTTCCGGCCACTAGTGAGATTTCTTCCTGGGAAGTCATTGTTCACTGTCCCCAGTGTCAAGGGCTGATCATCCATCCTTCCAAACACCCTGTGCTTCCTTGCTGCCCTTTCATTCCTGAAACCGAGAACTGAAAAAGTGTGGCTTTCCTTCTGCTTCTATGCCCATACAAGAATAAATCAGAATAGAAGTCAAGTCTATGACACAATCACTGGTCGCCTTATACACAGCAGTTTTAAAAGCAATTAAAATTATGTACACAGACAACGGTAAAGAAAAATACAATTGAAAACCCCCCGCTATCCTCTAAGAGAAGGAAAAATTATGTAATATGTATATGCATTCCATAAAAATATACACAGTGAAACCTTCAGAAGGCTTAAAACAAAACCTCAGTAAACCAAGCCACACTTAGAAAAAGGAAAGCTGATTTTTATTTTATCAACAGCCATTCTTAAACATGAACATGCATACGTAATATTCTACGCACACATCACAGTTTTTAACGTTAGTTAATAAAGGTTAAACACACAACATACATCCTTACAAAAAAAAGTCAAAATGCAAACTCAAAACTTTAAACAAAAGTCTTACTAATTTAAAAAAGTTTGTGTTGGGTACCATTTGTACAACACAGTTAATTTAAACATTTTCCTTTTGGCTGCACATGAAAAAGCGGCAGTAGAAAATAAAGTCATGGAGGGTTTTAAATAGCGAATAGGCAGTTCTGCCATGCAGGAGAAGCAATATTAAATATTAGTTTTCAAAAAAAATCCACATTTAAAAATATTTAGTTCAAGTCACAGAACTTTTCTCAGTAGAGACCTCAATGCAATGCATAATTAGCTGCCTTAGATGGCCTGTTTTGAAAGGACAACATCCCTTTCAAAGTAGTATAACTTTACTGATTTGGCACAGAAAAGAAGTCTTAAGAACAAGAACATGATTAAAAAAGTGGGAAGAGGAACAGAGGAAAGAATACCAGCAAGAATAACTGAGATAGAAATTGCAATCACTAAAAACTGCATTCTCAGTCACTGCAGAACACTGTCAGAGCTCCATCATGGAGGTGCTTACTCCACAACTGTTATTGCAGCATGGATTTGATTTGCTTGGAGGTAGTCTCATCATTCAAATGTTTTGTTGTATACCTGAAAGAAAAAGAGTGATGAGCTCTGGAAAATTACATTCTGCACTGGGTTGTATAATTATGGGACCAGGGACCAGGGAAATCTCTCACAAAATTATGCCTTTGCACTGCAACTTGAATCCTATTCATGGTCAGCACTGCCTACCTCCCCATACATATGGAGCACAACAGTCATTGGCTGTTTCACCTAGCCACAACTAACCTGTTGAAATGATTAGCTAAACTCTGAAAGAACCAACCAGCAACCTCTCATTGACAGAAAAATGATAGTTCTATCCAGGGGATTGGCAAATTATGGCCCATGGGCTAAATCTAGTTCTTCACCTATTTTTGAATGGCATGGGAGTTAAGTAAATAAACATTTTACATTTTGGATGGCTGAAGGGGAAAAAAAAGTCTAAAACACAGGTTGCTGTTAACATGAAATCATATGAAATTCAAATTTCAATTATTTGCATGTAAAAGTTATATTGGAGGAAGAGGAGTGGGCCATATAAAACCAGAATACATTGTATGCATGTATGAAATCCTCAAATAATAAAAGTATTATATTTAAAAAGTGGCATTGGAAAATACCCAAACTGGTTAACTTAAGTATTATCTGAGGTCATAGCCTTGGCACAACAGAAGACTTACGTAGCTATGACAGAAAACAAAAAGCCCACAGAGCCTAGATATTTACTCACTTTCCGGCCCCTTACAGTTTGACTCTAAAAATACTTCAACTACTGTTGTCACACCCATAAAATATCTTAATTCTCCAAGTTTCTCATTTCCAGATAGGTTTATTTTGATCAAGCATGCAAATCCAAACTCAGAATTCAAAAAACAAAATACGCTGAGTGACTAATTTAAGAGGATTCAACCTGGATTCCTTTAAATAAAACACCACCAGTAAACAAGTCTACAATGTGTCACATACTGTTTCAAGAGTTGCTAACCAATAGGGCACTGATCTTACAGAAAGCCCGGGAGCAAAGAGTTGACGAAGAGACTGCAGAGCAGGAAAATAGCTCACAAGGACACGTGGTGACCAGCGTACAGGATCTGGAGGTCAAGGGCAATGAAAGTCACTAAGTAGGTGGCTTCATTTACGTTTTGAAAGGATGACTTTTGATGTGGAGGCGTGCTGTGGGGAGCTACAGGATGATCAATCAGGACCTGCTACTAGGTAGTAAAAGAATATCCAAGACTTGGACCAGATTAGTAACAACAGAGACAGGTGTGCAACTCTTAAATGTGGAATGCATTTTGGAGATAATTCAAACAGATGAATTTAGTTTATAAGAATTTTACATATACTCTTCAAGGACTACATCATTTTAAGTAGGTATACACAGATGATCTCTCCATGCTACAGGAATTTAAACAACTCCTGTTAAGCTTATTTACAATGAATCTGTACTCAAGTAGATCTTTGGAAAGGTGAAGAGAGACACATGTTTATTACATATCTGATATTAACTACCTACTGTTTTACTAAGTAGTCACTTACAAACTGTTCTCATATTACTGAACAGACACAGCAGTGCCTGACACATAACAGGTGCTCAGAGGCTAAAAGGAAGTTGCCAGGGTGGGAAAGAAGGCCATGAAGAACTATTTAGAAAAACTGGCTTTCCACTGTAGAAGGGTTAACAGTGTTTCTACTCAGCAATGTGCTGTGGCACGTAAGGAGCTGTGTTTGCCCTCTCCCAGGACACGCACGCGCGCGGGCACACACACACACACAAACTTAAAAAAAAAAAAAAAAAAAAAGAATACAGCTGATTATTGGTGGGTAAGGGAGTTGATCTTCTTTAAGGGGAGAGACTCTAGATAGGCTGACTAGACTCTAGTGGATGAACTTGCACTAAGGGACATCTGGGTATACAAACTTGACTCAACAGGCCTTAACATATATGACAAAATGCATGAAATCTGGTGGGGGGGGGCTATGGGAGGTGCAGATGGAGGAGTATAAAGATGATTAAGATGTTTTGTATGAAGTGCACAAAAATTCAGTAAAAAATATACATTGAAAAAAAAGAAAAAAAAATATTCCATCCAGCATTCTTAGGAGCTTTAGTACCTAAAACAAGTGAAACTAAACTAAGAAAATACATGAAATAATGACTAATCATTTTCTTTTCACTATATGAAATACAAAAATGACATACACATGTGTTCATGAATACAGAAATACAACTATACTGCATTACAGAAAAAGAATGAATTAGAAACACTGCATAAGAAATTGTTTGTATACAGCTATAATTACCTACCTGTGTGAGGAAAAACCCACTAGAAAGCTATATGCCAAAATGGTAATACTAGCTAATTTCAACATTGTTAAGATTACACGATTCCTTTTTCTTTAAGTTTCCTGTTTTTAAGTTTATTCACAATCAGCATATACTAAAAAATAAGAAAGCAATCCTGCTTCAAAGGGGCAAAAAGGGGCCAGGCAGAGGCAGGGGGATCTCTGTGAGTTCGAGGTCAGCCTGGTCTACATAGCCAGTTCCAGGTCAGCTGGGGCTACAGGGAGACCATGTCTCAAAAAGACCAAAAAGGGGTGGGGGGCAGGGCACAAAGAGTACAGCCAAAATTCAGAGTCAGGATGTGAAGCTGCCATTCTCATCTATACACACGTTCCTCACTGCATAATGCTGTGCTCACTGCTTGGAGGTGGCATTACCAATAAGCAAAACGAGACCTTCCCATTTCCAGCTTGAATATCTTCATATCCTTTAGGTGTATTCAAACATGCACATGGCAATCACTTTGCTTAAGTAACTGACATGCTCAGTATACACACCTGAGAGCATTTAGAAGGCCTTCTACACTATTAGGAGGCTGGTCCTTCAGAACTTTGATACAACCTTTCATCTACAGAGAAAAGAAAATGGAAAAGTAAAATATCTGCTTTTTATAAAACATTCATTTTCATAATAGTAAAACAAATTGAAACCACAACTATAGAACTGGAAGAGATTACATACTAGAAATGCCAAATTATTCATTCCTAGAAGCAGGAGGAACGACCACATATTATTTTCAGTCTCTCAGTGAAACAAAACTTTCTGAGAATCAGTCAAACTAAAGTACTACCCACAAGAGTGAGAAACAAAGGTTTTGACAAGGGAAGACATCCAGAAAAAGGTGCTACACAGCTGCTTGAAGGTGAGAATGGATCTGCTCTAGGAAAAGACAAGCTTCCCAGGTAGAAGCAGCCTATGAAAGACAGATAGGAATCCTGCAGAGCTGGGAGGGAAAGCTAGCAAGCCCTGAAGGCCAGGGTGACTCATCTAAAATGGACACAGGCAGCAGGAACTCATACTGCAGCTCAAAAGCAGAACTCAATGAAGGGGGTATTTAGAGACCAGCCTGGTTGTAAAAAAGCACAGTAGCATAGAAACACCACAGGCTCTGAAAACAAGAAAGATGTACGTTTAGTCTCCTACCCACCATGTACCAGGATTCGATTACTTAATTTCCAAAAGTTAAGTTGCTCTGTTAGTGAAAGGGACATCCTAAGAGTATTTTCAGAGGCACATGGGGGAATCAGTGTAAACTCTCTGGGGCAGGGATACCACACAGGAGTTAGCTAATGCTAACTTGTTTTTCTTCACATAAGTGAAAGCTAGCACTCCACAATTGAGATTCCAAATGCTAAGGGCCTGAACTAGCAACAACAGGGAAAGAAAATACATGACACACAGTAATTAAAAGTACCAGACTGGTGGAACTAACCTTCTTGGATGTTTAACAGACATACTTTGAAGCCTATAATAATTTGGTCAGAGGGATATAAAGGACAGTTTTTGCTCTTTGCCCTCCTAGGTCGACTAGTTCCAGGGGACTATGAGCATCTCTCAAAATGTCCTGTAATTGTGGTGGGTCACCTCTTCTCTTGATCAAGGAGGCCGAGGAGACCCCACCAGATGGACTTGAACCAGTGTCCAGTCTACAAAGAGGAGGATCAACACAGAGGATTCATTTCCTCCATGCTTCCGAAACGAAGCCAACCATGGTCGAGCAGGACCTTTGACTTATCTTCACATAGGTGGAACTGGTAAAAGAAAGGAGCCAGGGCCTCCTCCCAAGCCGGGCCAACTGTATGGCCTTAAACATCCAAAAGAAAAGTATAATCAAAGATTAAAGGGGCTAATAAAATTTCTTAAGAGTCCATTTGCATAGCTAAAGGCTACATAACAAGCAACAATGCCAGATAGGAGATACCTTCTTTTGAGTTGTTGCCCAGGGTGACCAAAGGGCCTCCCACATAGTAACCCAGCATAGAAATGGGAAAATGAACAGCAGACCCCAATCTTATCTAAAGGAATATTGACAACTGATTGCTGCTAGATGAGGAACAGCTGACCCTCCTAAAACAAAGACTTCTAGATAGGCTGACTAGATTCACCAGAAGGACAACTAGTGGGGAATGGCTGGGGGTGCTGACAACACAGCAGACAGTAGCAGGGATATCAGAGTATAAGGGCTCTAGTAGGGGGAGGGAGGCTATGGAAGAGTGCCATCTGGGAAGTGGGTGTATAGTTGAATAAGGTGGTTTG